TTCACAAGATCAGAGAATAGCAATGAATTAGCCTTCAAACCATGAGCCTACAAAATATAACAAATATATTAACTATGTATGTACATGTACATGTATATACATACAAAAATACTCTGATTTTTTTGCTTTAATTTTAGTTTTTTTTTAATATTAAAATTTAGATTTTTTAATGCAACTATAACTCTATCTCACATCAATCCACTGTATTGATGACATATATTCTTCTTTGCAAGGTTTAGGCAGTGGATGCTTATCGCTCCTTCCAACCGTCTGCTTCTCCAACTGTATCAACTGTATCTCTGCTAGAGTGTCACGCCCCCTCTCAAGCTCCTCCCACACGAGGAGGACATCATCTCGGGGGAGGGACGGCGGAGTCCTAAAAAAAGAAAATTTAAAATTTGAATCCTTGCGGGCTAACTTTGTTCTTGAGGAAGTGCTGTTAATGGAGCTGGTGGCAGATGAAGGACGTGAAGAGACTGGAGCAATGGGATCATATACTGGAGACTTTGGATTATAGACATGTAACCTGTGAAAGAGAGAGAGAGAAAGAGGGAAAGAAAGTGAGGGAGTGAGAGAGAGAGAGAGAGAGAGAGAGAGAGAGGGAGGGAGGGAGGGAGGGAGGGAGGGAGGGAGGGAGGGAGGGAGGGAGGGAGGGAGAGAAAGAGAGGAGAGAACAAAAACCAAAGTTAATATAGGACAATAATATATATTCCTTGCCTTCCATTGCATACTCTACAGAGTTCCTTATAATCATCCAGTGCTCCAGGATCAGTGCACTCATACACACTAATATTAACTGGTACATGTGACAGCTGGAGCATGTTGAATAAAGAAGAATAGCTTCTTAACGCTGAACGACCTTGAGTTAATATGTATACTGCATCATTCTAGAGGGAAAAGAGAAAAATAAAATACTTATAATAAAATTAACTGCATTTATATTTAATAATACTACTAATAGTGTAACTCACACTTGCATTTAATAGTACTACCAATATTTAATATTGTAACTCACTCCTTCACAGGCAATAGCTCTAGTGACAGCCTCTATGAGGTTATTAGTCATTGGTGCATTAAATGAACTGGAATGAGCCTCATCCAACCACTGGATCCCCTCCTGCACAACACCCGGCAACACTTTTAACAAGTTATCGGCAAAACTAGTCAGACCTCCCGTACATCTGCAGGTCACATGACAAAGAGTATACATGTAAAAATGTTGGTATATATGTTTAGTTATGATATATATGCACATGTAGATTAATTGTATTGCAAATATAAGTATATGAATACCTTATGATGTTGAATTT